GGCTTTTCATTTTGCTAAAAAGTCTGTGTCATTCTGTGTTCATTTTGCACTTTTAACTCTGATTATATCTATTAAAAGTAGATTTTTTTTTCTAGACATTGTTGGAAATTTAGGGTTAAAATCGACGAAAAAAAATTATATGTTAAGCATAAATATTCTGATACACAGTGACTAAACGTTTACGCGAGCAGTTCAAATTGTTCAGGAAAAAAAAAAAAACGGAGTAGAAAAGTTTTGGTATAAGTGATCGGATGAAATTTAAAAAAACAATTTTTCTGTACCAAAAAAGTTTAAAAAAAAAAAGAAGCGACAACTACCAATGATCAACTTTATGATTTAATAGATTTTAGACTAAACTAAGCTAGTTACATTAATAAAACAAAGAAGAAAAAAGCTGAATTGCACTGCAGTGTGTTTAACAGAACAATTTGATGTCAACGAAGTTATTAGCAGAAGAAATAAAAATGATTGCAAAAGTTGATGAAAAAAATTTATAAGACCACTTTTTTTTTTGCATAAAGAATCTCAACTTATGATCAGCTTTTTTTAAAAGTTTAAAATTTTTATTCCTTCTGTCAATAGCTACAGTTCGGGAAGTTCAGAAAGCAACTGTTGAACAGGAAGAACTGTCTGTAGTACAAAGAAAGAATGATTCAAATTACAAAGCTGTTAAAATTGCAATATATCAGAGATGTATCAATTCTGGCTATTTTTTAGATATTATACTAGTAAACTGTTGATTCACTGGCAACAGTGAACTGCTGTTCATCTGAAACTGTACATTTCTAATATATAGTAAATAAATTCTTAAACAGAATATGCATTGTCAGTCATGCAAAACTTTATCATGTAAAAAAAAAAACTAAAGAATACCTCATTTTTATGAATTTTCTGCAATATTTACAACAGGAAAAAAAAAATGATAATATTGAAAATAAATTAGAACATAGTTTATATAGAGACTATAATTTTGCGCTGTCGATCAGTGATCATAGAATAGACTTTATTAACTTAATCGTCGATCAGCTTTTAAGCATATAATTGTTGTCAAAATATACCCCCCCTTCC